ACGTGCCATCTGGGCTGCTCAAGAGTGCGGGACTGTCCTTGAGTTCCTGCCCTGAATGTCAAAGCTGAGGTGCACATGGACCTTTTCTCCACGGTGCCATGGGGCTCGATTCCGTCATATCACAGGGCAGGACTGTGCAACAACTTTCCCGCCGGCTGTGTATGCGAATTGCACGCGTCATCTGGGCTTCCCAAGAGGGCTGGACTGCTCCTTATTTTCTGTCCTGAATGTCACAGCTCAGGCGCACATGGTATGATAAAGGCAGGAGCCCATTTACTCGCCTACGCACTCAGTCACTCACATGGCCGGCATGAAGTGCCGACGCCGGACAATGCCGCCAAGGAGGTAGTCGCCGTCCCGCTGCACTCGGCTCAGCGCCACGTACCCTGCCGCTTTCATGAAAGGGACATCCAGCCAGATGGTTATATGGTCCAGCTCCGCGCCTTGCAGCTTATGGATCGTGCTTGCATACCCGGCACGCACCGGGTAGGCGGTGACGTACCCGCAGTCCGTGATCCAGTCCGTGATGGGGTAGACGGCGAGGTTGCGGCCGGTCTTTGTGAGAATGTGAAGGCAGCCGGACGTCGGGGCGAAGCTCAGAACGGTACATTCCATGCCGTTGATGAAGTCGGAGCCCTTGTCAACATTGCGCGTAATGTGCACTCTCATGCCCCTGTACACTTTCATGCACCGGCGGCTTGCCCGTGATGACTTTGTTGTCCTCGTCGAAGTTCTCGACATTGGACTCCCAGTCAACGAAAAGGTCCGCCAGCTGCCGCCTCTTCTTCGTTGTGAACAAGACCCAGATGGAGAGGTCGTTCACCAGCGCAGCGGCCCGCCGCGTGCAGGTAGCGATGGTCGTGTGAGGTACCTTGCGGCACAGCTCCTGCAAGTCCCAGGCCGTCGGCTCCTTGTGGCCGGACCAGGCTTTGTCGGAGGGCAATCCTCTTCAGGAGCTTCTTGTCAGGCCAGCTTCGCCCGCAATGTCTCATCCTTGCATCGCCACATCTCGTGGAGCTTGACCTGGCGCACGCTGCGCCACTTCGGGCTGTCGGTGGCACGTGTGGGCTGCACGCCAGGGAGTTGCCAGAAGTCGCCCGCGAAGACCAAGACGGGCAGCTTGTCGGCGGCCTCCCACATCTGAACGATGCGCTCGAAGTCGTCCTTGGACAGCTGGGAGACTTCGTCCACGGCAATCATGTCATACTGCGTGAGGCAATCCATGACCTCCACGGCGTCCTTATACAGGAAGAAGGCGCCGGCCTTGTTGAACCGCACATCTCTGAACATCGGGTCCTCTTCGCCAGCCAGCAGCCCGACCTCGCGCATGGCCTCCTGCGCTCCCGCATCGTCCTCCTTCGCAAGACTGCCACTGAGAAACCGATCAACCAGAGTCCGCTGCGCTCTTAACTTCGCCAGGAACGTTTCGATCTTGTCGGAACCCATGGCCTCCAGCTCCAAGTCTGCGCGGATCTTGTCGTCATCGCTCTACTCCGGGCACTGCAGCACTGCGTTGGCAAAGTGGTGGAACTGCACGGGGACCTTCTCCTGGACGTTGGAGAGTACCAGGTCGGCCAAGTCGCGGAAAGGCTTGCGCAGCGCCAGCCACTGCCCAAACCATCGGTCGTTGAAGATGGACAGCATGTCGCAGGCCATCAGCTTCTCACCGAACATGAGGCAGGTGTTGGCAAAGGCACGTAGGTTTCGACTTCTGGTCTCCTCATCGTCTTTGTGGAGTCTGATTACCCATCGGGCAATGCCACCGTCGCGGTTGCTCTTGCGGCAGAACTCCAGGAGGCTCACATCTTCGCGCCGCCAATCCGAGTCCTGGTAGAGCTTTACGACTGCCGGGAGCGTGGACGCGCCTGGCCAAGGCGCAATGAGCGGCACCATCGTGCCACCGTAGCGGCAGGGGGGCATCTGCTGAGCAAACAGATACAGCCACATTTCGGGCTCGGCCGGCT